CACACACACACACACACACACACACACACACACACACACACACACACACACACATACACACACACACATATATATATATATATAATTAAAGTTCTCCGGATTGAAATATACTTTTAAAATATACTTTTATTGAGCTTTCGACTCGGTACTTCGAGCCTTCTTCAGAATACTGAGATTAAAATTACATATGTACATTACTTAATTAAAGTTTTGCGGTGTTGCTACGTTCCAGTATACGTTGAGACCGTCTAATTGGCTGTTCCGCTGTTGACCTGATCTCATTGCTGGTTGAAGAATGCGTTGTCACGGTTGAATGAATTCCGCTGCTAGGGATGGCGTCATTGGAATGTTTGGATTGTTGTGTTGTGGATGTTGAAGGAAGTGTTATTTGGAAGTTAGTATTAGTCATAGTATCGTTGTTATTAGTGGGATATTTACATATGTTGTTTTAAGTTGTAAGTATACAGTGGGAATTTCAACGTGGCGGTTAATTGTATTACCGTCTATATTGTACCATGCCTCTTTAAATTCACGTGTGCGTGTTTTGTTTGTGCTCGTCCTAATAGTTCGGTTTCTGTCCAGTTGAAGGTATGGCAGTTGTCGTATGTGTGTGCTGCTGGTAGTGATTTATAATCGTATCGTTTTATGGCGTTTTTGTGTTCAGTTATACATGTTTCAATTTTCTTCGAACTTTGACCTATGTATCGTTGTGGACAGTCTCTGCAAGGTATCATACATTTTTTGTTTGTTTTGATGCAGTTTTGTCTTTGTGTTTTGTGAAATATGACCTAAGTTTATGTGCCGGTTTGTGTGCTACGTCAATGTTGAAAGGTCGCAATAATCTGGCGGTCATTTCAGATGTACTGTTTATGTAAGGTAGAGTTATTCTTGTCCTTGATTGTTCAGGTTGTTCGTCAGGTATGTTACTCTGTTTTTTGTTACGTATTTTTGTTAGTATTTTGTTAATTTTGTTAACGAAGTTCCTAGAGTAGTTGTTTTTCATGAAAGTCGAGAATAGATATTTGCGTTTTGTTTGTTTAGCTTGTCCTGTGTTACAGTGCGTATCTATTCGGTTGAATAAGCTTCTTATACAGCTTATTTGGTGTTGAGTAGGGTGGTTGCTGTTAAAATTCAGTATTTGGTCAGTGTGCGTTTTCTTACGGTAGACCTGTGTGTTAATTGTGCCGTCATCAGTTCTTGTTAACAAAATGTCAAGGAAAGCAAGTCAGTTGGTTGTTATCTTCTTCTTCTTTCGTGAATTTTATATTTTCTGTAGTATTGTTTATAGTATGTAAAATGTCGTCAGTCTTGTCTTTCTTAACTGTAGCAAGGACGTCGTCTACGTATCTGTTCCATGTTTTAATATCGTTATTGTTAGTAACAGATCTCTTTTCTAGATCCTGCATGACTGCTTCAGCAAGGAAACTAGAAAGAGGAAATCCCATAGGTGTACCCGAAATTTGTCTGTAGTAAGAGTTTTGGAATGAGAATTCAGTGGAAAGACACAGATCAAGTAGTTCAAGAATGTCGTGTTTGTCTAGTTTGGTTCTGGTTTGCCACGATTCGTCATAAGTAAGCAATTCGTTCGTGATGCGTTTTGCTGTGTCTAGTGGTATGGAAGTGAAAAGAAAAACGACGTCAAAAGATATCATGATTTCGTCGAGTTTGACTAATGGTCGCGGGTCGCGGGTAAAAAGTCGCGTGTCCCGGGTAAAAAGTCGCGTGTCGCGGGTAGAATGTCGCGGGTCACGGGTAAAATGTCGCGGGTAAAAAGTCGCGGTTCGTAAAAAAGCTCCAAACCGTGTATTTTATTGAGTCGCGGGTTGAATCAAATGTGCAAAAATCACATTATCATTTAGTAAACAACCATATAGGATTGCTTCAATACGAAATATTGCCCAAGAGATTGCTTCAATACGAAATATTGCCCAAGAGCCTTTTGTCATGATTTAACGGTTCTATATAAACGTGCCAGAAGCCTAAAACTTGAAAGAATAATTTCAATATGCTAAACCAACAATTCTACCATGAAAAAATCCTCTAATCAAAAAATATGTTCTGAAAGAAACAAACAAGACTTTGGTAGAAATAAATTCAGTTTACCACCACTATTACAATCAGTTTAACTTTAAATATTATATATATATATATATATATATATATATATATATATATATATATATATATATATATATATATATATATATATATATATATATATATATATATATATATATAAATATTTATATATATATATATAATATAAATTACATGTTTTAGGTTGACACCGACATATGCGTTTTGTCTGTTACTTGTTGTAAAATTGCGACCATTTTTTGGTGCTGGTCCACTCTGGTTTTTAGAAGCTGATACCTCCGCATGTTCTGAGAATTGGTGGGCGAATTTATTGTACCTGAATAATTTTCTTAAAACAGATTTCGTCGCCGGGGTAAGTTGTACAAACAACGTGCAGGAGATATTAATTAAGCTAGAATCTAATGGACAAAACCCTGTAGACCATTCCAGCAATATTACAAAGTTACTTATTGAACATTGACAAAACAAACTTTGTTTCCTCCTCCTCCCCCTCCCCCCGGTTAAATATTATAAACAACGCCGAAACAACTTTTGGTAATATTCCATTACACAAGCTCAACATTGAGTTGGGAGAGCGGGGGCTTAAGAAGGCCAACATGATTCAACATGGAGTTTATCATAAAAATATGCGAATTATGTATAGGGGAAAAATAGTCTCAACCAGTTATGTCCAAGATTGTAGCTGTATAATTATGTCCAATTAATCCCTCAATTTGTATACCTCGAAAACTGTGTAATTTACAATCGTTGGATTGGCAAATGGTTTTGAGAGGAATATGCTTGTGGATGATGCGCAGGCAAGATCAACAAGCTTTGCACTACAAGACCTTTGGTCTTCAACAGGTTAAATATATAATCACAGCGTTATATTACATGAATGACGTAGGCAATACTAGATACTATTTAAATAATTTTTTGTTTTTTTAAATAACTGAATATTGCCGGTTTCATGCAGTAGTTACTCAGGGCTATTGTGTCCATCATGATCGTCAACAATAGCATGAAATGTGTCATTTTCCCGTTTGTCATATCGTTACATTAATTTATGTTTTCCTTATTTCCTCCAACACTAGATGTGCATGGGACACACGTGGTACTTAGCAGCCGATATGCAAATGTTTCTGATATCTCCAATTTTCCTCCTGGTTGCATACAGGTAATTGTCTCAGGTTTAGAGCAATACGTATTATGTAGTTGGGTTGGCTATTAGTAAAACACGGAGCACGGAGCAGTAAAAAACCCCACAATCTTTTATGATAAACGATATTGTTAATTATCACAAATGTTATTATTATTGATAAAGATTTTTCGTGTTTTGTTAATTTTTTATTATTATAGATAAAGAATTTTGCAATTTTCGTTAGGGAAGTACGAAAATGGGGCTTTTAAAAAACACATTATCTCGCACTGACAGGAAAATTGTAGCCGTCGCCCATCTCAGCAGGAAATTTTGGAAAGTTGATATTTTATTTGATATATAATAAAAAAATAGCGCTGGTTGATTTTTTAGCGCTGTTGGGAGTCGAGAAGCAACGAATTTTCACAGGCTGCATTACAGAATGGGAAAGTCTACGGTGAAAGCAAATGGCGGATGTGCATGCGAAATGATTGCGGAATGGAATGCGGAATTCAAACACGGCGACATTTTTTCGCGACAATTTTAGTTCGCGACATTTTTCTTTGTTTACCAAATTGTGAATGATTTGAATCGTTAAAATATATTTGTTTTTTAATTAAACTGTAATTTTTTTTATTTAATTATTTAAATCCGTCTGTGTTATGAAAGTGGTCTTTACAGCTAACGAAACGCAATAAAGCTAGATGCAAACTATTTCACATGCATGTAATGGTCTATTTTATTATATAAACATATAAGTGTTATATAGAGTTTTTGGCCACTGAGAAAAAAAATTGTATTTAGACACACGTAGATAATACCATATTTTTACGTGTGAAAATATCATTTTTGCAAGCCAATCAAAAAGCGCGCAGGAAATATGTTTGACCAATTAGAGCACTTGCTGTAAAACGCATTGCCACCGATGTTTTATCGTTTTTCAATTATCGCTTTTCTGTAGAAATTGTCGCTTTTCAAAGACTGTCCTTTATATAATAAACAGAAAAATACATGGATGGTTGGAAATACCAGATTTAAATTATTTCTCGTGTTGAAGATGATATCTCCTCGTTCGCTGTAGCCGATAGCATGTTCAACACTCGAAATAAATCTGGTATTTCCGCGCACCCATGCATGTATTATTCTCTATATATTGTATTGTGTTTGCTATTAATTAAATTAAAGATCACACCGTATTGCATGGTTCTTAATTATTGTATAACATTTAATAACTGAAGATTGATGGGCATTCTGCCTGAGTGAAAGTTCCTTGACAAACAACAAAAACCTGGTCACATTTCTCATAACGTTCAAGCTTCGTTTTCCTTTCTCAATACTAGATTCCCCTTATTACGTTTTCGTAGCGCTTTGCATTGTGGTTATAGTGGTATCACTGATATTCAAGATGGCTTATTTTTTGTCCTGACCCTTGCAGAACTATTAAAAAGAGCTAGGGTCAGGTGCGCGATAGCCAACAGCAAAATATTCGCGAAAACATTCAATATTTTCATTCGAGGCCACTATCTTTATCAGTGATACCACTATAATCACAATACAAAGCGCTACGAAAACGTAATAAGGGGAATCATCAATTGTCGTGATTTGGTCGTATAAACTGCGCGCGTTTCGTGCATGAATATATCTATCTTTCTTGTGATCCGTTAAGCTGTGAAGGCCACTTTCATAATATTACAGACGGATTTAAATAATTAAATAACAATTTGACGATTCAAATTTGATAAACAAAGAAAAATGTTAATTGTCGCGAAGAAGATGTCGCTGTATTTGCATTCCGCATTCCATTCCGCAGTCATTGCGCAGTCATTCACCATGCAATTCCGCGTACCCTTCCGTGTACCATTCCGCCGTTAACTTTCACCGGAAATATAGGCTTTAAAATTTTTATACTTCTGGAAAGAGTGAAGATTTTGTATCCCTTAGTATTTAAAAAATAATAAAGTTTTACTACTAAAGGCTTTGGCAGTAAACAAACAGCCAGAAATAAAGTTTCTAACAAATCTCATGCAGGTTAAAATCTCCTGCAAAATTAGCTCCTCCCATGAGGAACACTACAAGAAATAAATGCAAATAAGTCATGCATAAATAAGTGGAGACTGTGGGGTCCAAAAAAGCCAGATAAAATAATTTAGTATTAATTATATAAAGTATTGGTTATTTGGTCCCAACTTCACCTATTCCAGAATTTTAAGTTTACACTTCGCAAAAACGTTTATTTCAAAACTTTATTATTTTTAATCCTAGTCTCTGATGCTCATGTATAAATACAGTCAGTGAAAATTATTGGTTTCTCGATTGGAATAAAGACAATGTTTATGCAAGACAAGCTCTCTTTTTCTCATCAACACTCTTTGTTCTTTAAAAATTCGTTGTGAGAACTACCAGATTTCTCCAACATTTCGTACTCAGATTGGCGACGGCTTCAATTTTTCCTGTCAGTACGAGATGTGTTTTTTACACGCACAAAGCCCTATATTCTTGCTCTGCTTTTCTAAACAACGTGCCAACTAGAACTACCCAATACCTATAATACCCCCAAACATCATTAATGTCCCAGTGTTCCTGCCGCTACTACTTACGTCACAGGACACTATATTCCTCCTTTACCTCAATATAATAGTGTTATTGCACTGTCTATAATATTTATAAAACACAACCGCTCTTATTGGACTATTAAATGTAAATAAATTTGTTAATAAAAATTAAATTAAGTTCAATCAGCTCTGTCCTTAA